CACACCCGTGCTGAGTGATTCATCTATATCCATGCGCAGAGGCGGTTGTGTGTCCTAAGTGCATCAGTGAATCGATCATGTGTGGTCAGCATTTCATCTCGTAAAGTTTGCTTACATACACACTCAACCGAAAGTTGAACTCTCTCAAAGTTTGACTTCATTCAGGAACAGATGACTTTGTAATACCTAGTCGAGTGTATTCTTCTCCGCTTGTTTAATCATGGTGCTTACATTTGCTTGATCAGGTCAGGGACTCAATTCTGCCCACTCGTTTGGAGAACAACAAGAACCCTCCATTCCCCACATTCTTTGCTGATGGAGACAAAGATCTCCCTGAAGACCTTTTCGATGAGGACATGTTCCAGTTTGGGCAGCCCATGCCTGAATGAGGTTGTGAGCCCACAATTCTTGCTTATGCTGGTAAAAGACACTGGGCATTACGTGACCCTTGATCGATGCCTTTCATCTAGTGGATTCAGCACTGCTGGGCTGAAAGACTTTTAAAGAAGTGTCAAGTAAACGCATAAATACAGGTATTCAGGTTCAGGTACAGAGTAAACTCATACTTCTGTATAACAACTGGATCATGTTTAGGTGTCAAACGCAGTTGTGTATTTAAACAATAAAACCTGTTTGATATAATTACTGAATTAATTTTTATTTTCATATGTTATAGCGATAAAGCATTACATGGAAGCACTAGGAGAGTAGTTACTTTAAGCTATATATAAAATTAATATATAAGTAAAATATACATTTAATATATAATATTTTGTGTGTGTAGATATAAAATTATTTACATTTTCAGTTAATTATAAAAATTTTATATATACAATTTTATAATTGTATTAAATTACATAAAAGAATTTTATGTAACATTTTTATTTAATTGTATATTGTATAAATATTAATTTTAATATGAAATAATAAGTACCTTAAATGTTAATATTAAAATCAAATAATTAGAGGCTCAGAGTCTGGAATTAAAGAAATGGAGGCTATGAATTACTATGAATATTAAAGTTTGGTATTCAGTTAACTAAATGATACTCAACATTAATTCTTATGCTTAATATTAAACTAAACTCAAACTTAATGCATATATGTATCTTGAAAAAGACATGAGGCCAAAATGTATAAGGAATGTGAGAAATCCGCTCTCTTGATGATATTTTTCTGAAGCTCACCTGTGATCACCTGCTCAACTTATTTATTACTAAACATCATTGTAAGATTGGTTATTTTTGTAAGTGGTGTCAGCATTTCTGGTCTTATTTGACAATCTACTCGATGGACGTAAAGTTGCAAATACATCAAGCTGACAGCAAAACTCTGTAAGGATACCCTGATGGAACACACTGTGCTGACCTCTGTGCATTAGAGAAGAGAGCGGGAGGAGAAGGTGGAGACGAAAGGATGAATAGATGCTGACAATGGTTGACATTTCTCCCTCTCTCTAAGTGAGGGGAATAAATCAAGGCATTAATGTTGCATGAGTTAAAGCTCACTGACTGATGAAGGGAGGGAGTGAGTGTGTGTGTGGCTGGAGTGGCTACATTAGAGTCGAAAGCCCTGAAACCTTGTTTTCTACACACAGCCTTACTACATTGAAGAAAGGTCATGTAAACACTTTGTATGTACATCATCTTCTCCATCCTGTTTGTCTTGTTCTTAAGAAACACCAGAATAGTAATGGATACAGCCAGTGGGCATTTTATGGAAGTACAACTACAAAACAAGAAATGACTCAAACCAAGAAACTTGTAAGCTTTTTTTTTTTTT